TTGGGGTACAGTCTTTTCCCTCCCTCCATAGCAGGTGCCACGCCCCTGGATTTGATGACCAAGATGGGGGCAACGTATGGATCCTGAGCCAGGGCTACATAGAGAAACCATCTAAAACAACAACAACAGCAACAAAAAGACAAAGAAAAGCAAAACAAACACACAAACAAAAAACTGGCTCCCATGGGTTTTGACATCCTCTTCTGGTACCTGTGGGCACCCTCATTCAATTATGTACAGCCCGCAGACAGTAACATGATTAAACATAAAAATAAAAATCCTCTTAAAAATAATTTGAAGTACACCACGATTGCAGATTGCACCAGGCATACATGCCTCCCTTATAAGTAAATGAAAAGGGCTGGAGAGATGGCTCAGCAGTTAAGAGCACTGGCTGTTCTTGCAGAGGGCCTGAGTTCAGTTCCCAGTATCCATATGGCAGCCAACAATTCTCTGTAAGTCCAGTTCCCAGAGCTTCAACACCCTCTTTCAGTTTCTGAGGGCACCAGGAATGCAAACAGTACACATACAAACTTACAGGCAAAAACGATCATAACATTCAAATAAATTTAAAAAAAATCTTTTTATTGTTGTTGTATTAAAAAAGGGGGGGGGGTCATGACTGAGGCTCTGACTTGCCTATGATCACCCTGCCTCTGTGTCTCAAGTTCAGGGATTACAGGCATTAGCTGTAACTGTCACTGTCTGAGTTCTTACTAAGAATCTAAATTATTAGGTGGTGGTGCATGACGTTAATCCCAGCGCTCGGGAGGCAGATGCAGGCGGATCTCTGTGAGTTCGAGGCCAGCCAGGTCTATAAGAGTTAGTTCCAGGACAGGGTCTAAAACTACAGCGAAACCTTGTCTAGAAAAACCTAAATTATCCTGGTCAAACAAATGGAAACAGATTGCAAACTGAGCACAGTGGTTTATGTTGCAATCCAACAGTCAAGCAGCAAGGGCAGCCAGGATTCCCTGAGTTTGCCTTAAGTTTGAGGCCATCCTGGGCTACAGAGGGAGAGCCTGTTGGGGCCAGATAGGGGTGGGGTGCTGGAGAGCTCATCCAGCAGTTTAAGAGCATGGTCTATTCTTCCAAGGGACGCGGGTTCTATTCCCAATACCCACATGGCTGCGGACAACTTTAACACCAGCTCCAGGGAATCCCAGACATATACATGTAGGTAAAACACCCATATATAAAAAAACAAGACAAAAATAAAAAGAATTATTTTTAAAGTTTGCATTTGGATTGAAATAACCCTTTACTAAACTATGGGTCAATCAACAGGTTAGCTTGTTTTTGTTCTAAAATATTAGGGTGACCATTCAGTGAATTTATCTAAATTGAGATTATTAAGTGAAGTGTTTTCTTAATTTCTCTCTTCTCTTTTTTCTTTTTCTTTCTCTCTCTCTCTCTTTTGTGATTGAAGGGAAGAAGGGGATAAATGATGTAATTAAATGCTGATTAACATAAAAATGATTTATTATCAAAATGTTATATTGGCCTGGAATATCCTTTGTCCTTATCGAAAAGAAAAGTTTTGAAGGTAGGCCTTATTTCTGTCTTTAAGGTGAGTAAGCATCCTGTGGCAAAACACCTGGAAAAGTCAACTTATAAAAAGAAAAAGTTTATTTTGTCTAATGACTAAAGGTTCCAACCCTAGCAAAGAGGCAGAGCATTGTGACAGAACCTGCAGGGGCGGGAGGTTGTTCAACACAGGAGCTAGGGAAGAGGAAAAAGGGGAAGAAGATGAGGGGCAGGGTGGGAGAGAAGGGAGAGACAGACAGACACCAACGCCACAGAGAGAGAGAGAGTTTCAGGATCCCAGTATCTCTTCTAGGGAACTCCTCCAATGACCTATCTTCCTCTGCTTGGTTCTGCCTCCTAAAGGTTCCCTCATCATCCCATCGCTCCACATGCTGGGGATGGAGATCCCGTCTTTAAAAAGGATGCCTACAATGTTCTCATTGTTTTTTTCCGACTATGCCACTTGGTGGGCATTCGTACGTAATTTGTAAGGTAAGGAAATCCGTTAAGTTTGTGTACGTAGTAGCAGTAGCAGCAGCAGCTGCAGCAGGCAGCTCTTCCTGCAGACAGTTCCCCAAAAGCCTTCCCGGTAATTCTGCCCACTTACAATCTATGAAAAGATTTTGTTATTGAACTTGGGGATTACACCCTGTGCCCCTAGCCAAGTTTTTGAGTCTGAGGCCAGGTAAACTCTGCTCTAATTAAAGTCGAGTTTGTAACTTGGTGTTGGAGCTCAGAAGCCCTAGGAGGTCACCTGCAGAGAGACTGATTATAAGGGATTTGCCATTTCCCATAGGAAAGCCATCAGGGACCTTGAGTGGTGGGAACAGTCAACAGGGAGTTTGTCAAAGTAGCTCAGGACCGAGAATATACTTGTTAAACAACAGCACAATTGTTCGGTTCCTTTTCTAACGCTATTGGGGACCTACTAAACAACTTGAGAATGCTGAGCCATTGTTTGAGACTGAAGCAGAAACACAAGGATAAACCCCATCTTTCCTTGTAGCTGTAAAACCCCACAGCTGAAGTGAAGTGCAGGTAAGCTATGTACAGACCTTCTAAAACAGAGTAAGTTCCCTTTTCAGACCCGGAGACAAAAGGACAGCTCTAATCTTAGTCGCTTTCTACGCTGAATGAATAGGCTTGTCTAAGACACACACCCCCAATTCTATACTCAAGGGTGTAGGGGAACATGATACCAATAGCGAGTAACCAAACTCCACCGCTAGATAGAGAAATCGCTCGGCAGGATCCTCTGGTCCCTTTCTTTCATAAATGAACCTGTGAAGCTACCTAACTTTGATCCAACTTGGCTGTTTCCTCCCTTTCCTACTGCCAGGCACCAGGATGCTGGATCTGCAATATTAAGAAGCCTTCCCCAGTCCCTGGAGAGCTTCAGGTCTTCACAGCAGGCAGTAAATTCTGGCTACATTTTGAGGCTGTCCAACTGCTAACCCAGGACCGCATGTACCTCAGGTTGTCTCGAGTTGCAAGCTGCCTGCCTCCACCTCCCAAATGTTGGGATCACAGGTGTATATTACTATGGGCGCTTTACATTTTGAAGATCAGCATTAAAAAACTGAGGGTTCTGGCTCACTGGTAGAGTGATTGTCATACAAGATGGGGACCAGAATTTAGAACCCCAACATTCACATACAAAGTAAGCCACACTGGGGGTGGGGAGGGCACAGCTGTAATTCAGGTGTTGGGAGACGGAGGCAGGAGGGACCCTGAGGTTTCTAGTTATACATAAATCATTTAAAAAGAAAGAAAGCAAACACTGCTGGGCAGGGTTTAATCCTAGCACTGGGGAGGCAGAGCCAGGAAGGTCTCTAAGTTTGAAGGCAGCCTGCCTGGTCTACAGAGAAACCATTTAAAAAAAGAAAAAAAGAAAAGAGGATCAGAAGTGGGGTTTTATCCACATCACACTCTTCTTTACACGTCTACTCAGCTGCCAAAGAGGCCTTGTGCGTTGACATTTTTGCCTGTGTGCACGTCTGTGTGAGGGTGCCAGATCTCTTGGAACTAGAGTTACAATCATGAACTGCCATGTGGGTGCTAGGAATTGAACTTGAGTCCTCCGGAAGAGCAGTCACTGCTCTTCACCACCGAGCCAACTCTCCAAGTTTAAATTAACTTGGGTTGCGATTTGAATGAGAAAGGTTCCCACAGGCTCCTAATTTTGAATACTTGGGCTGCAGTTGGTAAAGTGTGGGAAGTACTGGGACTGGGCTTTAGGCTTTAAAAACCCACCCATCCTTTCTCCTCCTCAAACGTCTGGGCTTGACTGTGTCTCTCTCCCTGCCCATTGTCTACTGATAAATATGTAAATATGTAAAGTATCACCATCATAACGGACTAACCTTCTGAAACTATCAGCAAGCTCCCAGTTGCCTTGCTCAGTGTCTTCAGAGCAATAGAACAATAATAAGGATAGCCTTAATAAGAGAGCCTGATAGACAAGCCTGTGGGATTAATTTAAGATTAATGTTAGAGGGCCCAGCCCACTGAGGACACAGCCACTACTGAGCCGCAGACCAAGGCATGAAAAGCAAACAGCAAGCAGTTTTTCTCTATGGCCCCTGCTTCAATTCCTGCTTTCCAGTTTCTATGCTAACATTCAGACCCTTGACACACTAAGGACAGCAGTAAACAGTCTAAACTGGCGGTGGTGGTGCACACCTTTAATCCTAGCACTTAGGAGGCAGAGGCAGGCAGATCTCAGAGGTCAGCCTGGTCTACAAAGCAAGTTCCAGGACAGTCAGAGCTACAAAGAGAAACCCTGTCTGAAAAAAAAAAAGTAAAACCTGGGAATGAGGTATTTTGTAGTATCATCTGAGAAGCATGTTCTGTATATAGAGCACTCTGACCCTTGGCACACGAAGGCAGAGGGAAATGGTCCAGAGTGCGGCATAGTAGTAACTCCAGAGTAACTCAGGCTTGGCAGCACATACGCTTACTACCTATCTATCCTACCAGCTTGCACACATAACTCTTAAAAACATTGTTTAAAGCTTCTATCTGGACTTTGAGTGCCTCATAACTCTGTAAAGTTGTTTTATACAACAATTCCCACAGATAATTAAATCTTAGCATGGACATTCTAGTACTGTGGACATTCCATTCAAGTTAAAACAAGACATGAAGTTCTCCACATGTCAGCTGTAATATCCATTTATTCTTCATTCCCCACCCCAGTTCATCAAAATAAACTTACATCATGTTTGTATTTTATATTTTATGTACATGGGATGCTTTTATCTGCCACTAACTGCGCGGTGTGCCTGTCTGATCTCCAAGAGGCCAGACTGCATCAGAGTACAGATGTTTTTGGGGTGTCATATGAGTGGTACTGGGAACCCAACGTGGGTCTTCTGCAAGACCAATCAGTGCTCTTAACAACTGAGCGATCTCTCTAGCGCTGAAAAACACTCTTACCAGAGACCTTTAAAATAAAACCACAGAACAGCTCCTTTTATTTTCTAGTAAGACTAAATTTATTCAATACCCTAGAGTAAAAGTTTTGATTATAAGTATCCAACAGTATAAAAAGTACAAAACAGATCTGTAGATTTCTAATATATTAATACAAAGTGCATGACTACATACAGTACATCCTACGGCAGAGAGTGGAGGGGAGAAGACTGTGGTTGAGGTCTAGTAATAAATAAATAAATACAGAAGTAGAGATGATCCATCAAAGTATATTCTACCACCAATACTGCAGCCAAAATGTACAAAAGAAACATCCCGCGTCAAAGCACCGCGGGAGAATGGTAACGGCTGGACTCTGTACTACACCAAGGGCCGTGGAGAACCAACCCACTCACTGGGCAGTCTGTGCATGCGGTGGCTTGTACTAGGTAGGTTTTTCCAAAAAGGAAGAGACACACAAAATGTAAAACTATAAAACTATAGGATGCCACAAACTGTGGCCCTCCCCGTTGTGAAACACCAACAGACTTTTAAAAATCCAGTTTTTAAAATAACCATGAGCGACAGAATACTAAGGCAGCCACACACCCCTCCCTCTAGAAGAGGTCTGAAATGGCACTATTTTTCCTGAACTCTGAAAAGAGGCAATCGGACAACTTTCAGTCTGGCTCAACTGAGAAGCCCTCACTGAGATCTCCACACGAGGAGCTCCATTCAGCTATCTTGATGTTCAGAAGCCCAACTCCAAGAAGCCGACCCAATCCAACCACACAACTTAGCCTCAACACACAACTCTTTTCTTCTAATCAAACTTTAAATAGAGAGAGAAAAAAACAATAAGACAAAACCCAAAACCCTAATAAAGTTATGACAAGGCAAAGAGCTACTCTATAGATAAAAAAAAACCTCCACAAAAGGTCAACTGAGGTAATCCAGAGCTAGAACTGAATCGTGTGGATTTCAGTGAATCCCAGACAGTTGTGTAACACCAATGTCAATTGTTTACACACTGTAAGCCCTCTAAGAAATGTGCCCCAAGCAGCATCAACTGTGCCCCACGCATCCCCAGGACTTACACATTCTGTTTAAGTAGTTTATAACCACGTGTTCTCTACCGCATGGTGATGCTTTGGTACTATCCCCATAGGACCTTGCTCATCCTACAGGCTGGCCTTCCCCAGAAGGAGCTCTGGTTCTGTTTTCTAAGATTCACATAAAGTCTTTTTATCAAATATGACGAGGGGAGGCGACTCGGTGCTGCCTGTGTGTTCAGAGATTGCTTCCTCCTTCAAGCTATTTGCAGAAAGCTCAGTCTGTCCTGCGTAATCATCAGTAGTACAGGTCTGAATCATCAGAGCCTTGGCAACACCTTAGCATTTAAAAATTCCTAACTACCTCTAGGGGGCAGGTCGTGCTACTGAGTTATGACAAATCATCATGAGGGAAAACAAGTGTAGCCAGCCATATAAAAATGCCCCAACCACTGCCTCTCCACAGAAAGACTAAACTACATATGGTTTATTTATCACACACAAATCCCATCTCTGTCCCCTGAAATTCCCCTACTTCCATTCATTAGAGGGGATTAAAAAAAAAAGACTTTAAAGAGCACTTTACAGCAGCATTCAGCTTTCCTATGAAATACCCAGCATCTTAAATATTATGTACACTTCTTTCTTGTAGTAAGCTAGAAGAAACTGGCTTCAAAGTTTGTTGGATGAGGGGATGGGTAACCCATGAAACTATTCTAGAAAAATGTCTTTTGGCAGAATAGCAGGTATCCAAGTTAAAAATAGGAGGGTCAATTTGTTGCTTTGTGGTCTTTTCAAAGTTTAAAATCACTCTTTGTTCCCTTCTACATGAACCTCAGTCACCACTCCTGAGTGGAGATGGGCAGAGGCGCCGACCCCTGCTCCTCGGGCTTCTCAGCAGCTGCCTTCTTACTGCTGCAGCAAGGCTTGAAGAGATGCGTGTCGATGAGGACCTCCCCAAAGCGGCCCTTGTAGATGATCCCACAGCAGATCTTCTGTCTAAACAAAGGAAAACAGGACATTACGAGCAGGCGTTCTTTCCAACTCAAATTGTCAGGTTTACCCACTCAGCCATCCCTCCAGCTTTCCTGAAGCACTCTTCGGTCACTCTCTTTAGCAAATCCCACTCTACTCTGATTCTGTCTACTTCCTTTTGACTCCCTTATTTCTATGCTGACCTTTAGGATTTACGTACATTATTGATCTTAGATACTCAGATTATTTACAAAAAATCCTGCTCAATCTACCTCTATCTATACACTGCTCTAAAAGCAGTGACCACTCACCCAAACACCCTGCCATGGAACACAGAGCTCAACACGAGTGTCTTCCTCAATTGTTCCTCATCTTATTTTTGAGACAGTAGCTCACCCGGAGTTCACAGCAATCGGGAGAGCCTAGCTGGACAGCACAGCCCTGGGTCCCATCTCTGCCTCCCAGTGCTCCAATTTATAGTATACTTTCACTTCCATTTATATGGGTTGGTTTCTACTATTTTGTTTTGCTGGATGGAACTTTCCTGTCTCTGACCTTGTATAGAATATACTTTATTTTGCTACAGTCTTTGTTTACCCATCTTTTCAGTGTTGCTGTCACCATGATCACGAATGTGGGTTCTAGTGTTTCTTTCTGTTTAGACCAGAACTAGGTAAGGACTGAACCTAGGTCCTTACACATATAATTAGGGAACCTATGCCCAGCCCTATTCTACCACATTACTTCACTTTTTCTGTTCTTCCTGTATTTACCATTTTCTATATGGGTTAACACGCTGATCGGACATGTCTGCTGGCTTTAGTCACGTCATAGGATTCTAGCGACCTCAGTAGATTTAGGATTGGCAAGGCAAGGACATTTCAAATCCATCATCATCTTTACTACCACAGATGTTAACAAGTAATTAACCTTCTCCCTCTATTTTATTATTATTTATGTATGTGTGTGTTCCTGTGTGTAGAGGTGCTCACTGAGGCCATAAAATGTCAAATTTCCTAGAGCTGGAAATAGAGGCAGTAGTGAATTCCACACAGCAGGATGCTGGGAGCTTAACTCAGGTCCTGTCCACGAGCGCCAACTGCACTTAACTGAAGTGTTCAACCACCAAGCTCTCTAGCTCCTCTTCATTTTTAAGCTTCCACAATTACTTTTTTTTTTCGTGGGGGGGGGGGTCCTAATTATGTCACCCAGAGTTGCCTCAAACCCAACCTTAGCTCCAGTCAACTGTCTTATGCACTTGTTCATAAGGTATTTTTCAGTAAATACAGGTTTATATTGGGTCTCTCCCTCCTCTCCTTGCCCCCCACCCTCGGTTCTTAAAGACAGGGTTTCTCTGTGTAGCTCTGGCTGTCCTGGAACTTGCTTGGTGAACCCGGCTGGCCTTGAACTCAGAGATCCAGCTGCCCCTGCAGCAGAAATGCTGGGATCGAAGGCCACACCTGGCTCAGAGGTAGTATCTCCTAGCCAACTGAAGACCTTAATATATACTGATTTCTAGCTTGTTTTCTGTTTGTTTCAAAGAATTCATCCTTATGCCTTGGTTGTTCCTGTGAAAGCAGTGTATTTTCTCTGCACGATCCTACACTGTCCTTCATATTGTATAGTTTTAGGCATGGCTACAGGAAATGTCTTAACTGTTCTGTGTCCCAGGGATACTACTTTTCCTTTGAGAACACTCTCCTCTTCCTAATTATTGTCTCTTCTTGCTCTCTGGCCACATGTCCACATCTGAACTGGTCGGAGTGTCCCCATCACCATGACAGTTTGACCGCCAACTTGAGGTGGGAAAACTTGCCCACTGTGGGCGGCACCAAGCCTAGACCCCTAGACCGTGTGAGAGCAGAGAATCTGGCTGAGCACGAGGACATATGGATCCGTGTCCTGTGCTCTGCTCTGGCGTGACGTGGTCAGGTCTCTCCAGTTTCTATTACTGTGACTTCCCTGTGGTGATAGACACTGTAACCTGAACTGACCGAGAGCTAAAATAAACCTTTTCCCCTCACATATTTTATCACAGTAAGCAGAAATGAAACCAAGACACCTATTAATGACACTTGAAGAGACTTTAACCACTTATCCTTTTTAAAGAGACAACTCTCAGAACAGCTAGTCCTACTCTATCAATATAAACCTGAGGACCTTGATGTATGTCTTACACCCCAGGTCTGCTCAATTCCTGTTCAGTCGACCTCCTCTCTGAACCACCCGTTATCTGTCAACTAACTTTCAACTGCTCCACACACAGTACGCCGCAGCCAGTGGTGGAGACGGGCAGGTGATGACAAACAGGCTTTTCTTCTGCTTTTACCTTTTCCAGTAGGTAAGATCTAAGAAGGAAAACACTGGAGTCCTACTAGAGCTGGACGCCATCTCTGTGTCTGAGCCGTCGTCTGACTGGTTACTGTAGCAGGGAGACTGGGCAGGGGAGGCACTTGAGGTGGTGCTGTGAGCATCCGAATCTGCAACAAAGACGGGAGACATTCGAGTCTCATCATGTGCAAAGTCCAGGTGCTGCTCTATTTCTCTAATTGAGAAAATAACCTCAAGAATAAAGGTGATTTGCCAGCCTAGAGCTACACCAGCATGTTTCTGCACCATGTATGTAAAAGCCAGAAAATAAACAGAAAATAAAGCCAAGTGTGACAACACACACCCTTTCTCCCAGCACTCAGGAGGCAGAGGCACACATTTCTGTGGGTTCAATTTCTAAGTTTGAGGATAGCTTGGTCAACACTATGATTTCCAGGATGGCTGGAGAAAGGTAAAGACCCAATCTCAAAAAAAGGAAAAAAAAAAAAAAAAGTAAAGAAATAAAAGCCAGAAAATACACCTTTTCAGTTGATTGGTCACTATGCTATAGTACTGAATATCACAACCACCATTTAAACTTGTCATCTACAAACACGGATAGAATAGTCCTCTAATCCGGAGAAACAATTAATTGATATTTATGAACCAGCAAAGCTTTAGTTCAGATTTTGTGTGTGCATGCGCACATGTACATACAGTCTTGGAGACCAGAGGTTATCTGACACCCTGGAGCTGAGGTCGGAGGTAGCTATGAGCTACCAGATAAGGGTGCTTGATGGGTACCAAGGTCTTCCGCAAAAGCTGCTGCATGCGGAGCCATCTCTCCAGCCTCACTAAAACATCTTCCCGGAGTTTAGCACTGAAGTGCTTTCCTGGCACAGAGCCCTGGGCTTGAGCTCCGGCATTACAAGGAAAATAAAAGCTTACGAATATAAGGATCTCACAAGTTCCTCTTAAAAAATACAGAAATAAAGTAAAATTAAACATCTCAATTAAGTGTCATGTGTTATTAGCATGCTAATTCACTTTAATAAATAGTATTTAACTTCCTAAAGAAAAAAAATCTTCAGGAGTAATCTAGCAAGATATTTAAACCTCCCAGTAACATCAGCAAACAGTTTCTGTGTGAGGGAGGTTGACTATCCCAAATGCTCAGTGGTTTTGAATCATTTAAAGTTTCAGTGTGTACTATTTTTACATTTAAAAGCTACAGTATCCTTAGATTTTAATCTACAACTTTAGGATACCAAGATACATAACAACTACATAGAGTGAAGAACTGAAATTGTTACGTCTTCATCGGTAAGGATCACTTAGGCATCAACAAGAGAGCACAAGACAGGTGGGCAACAAAGCCTCGGGCTTCTTTGAACCAGAACGCCCAAAACACTTAGAAATCGTCATTTATCTTTATTGTAGTAGTGACTCGTCTATTTACTAAATGAATAAAAAGACAACAACCTGGCCATTCTATCTGCTGTGAATAACCACATTCTTATTATGAAATAATACTCTTATATTTAACAGAGCAGTTTTGCTTCAGGTCACAAGGGCTAAACAGATATTATACAGTATTCTGGTGTGTGTGTGTGTGTGTGTGTGTGTGGAGAGAGAGAGAGAGAGAGAGAGAGAGAGAGAGAGAGAATGAGAATATGTTGGTTTTGCCTGTGTACATGTTCATCCATGGTATGTGATATGTGGAAGCCAGGCTAGCATCTTTCCTGAGGCAGGTCTCTCACTGAACCTGCCACCTTGTCCCCGGGACCCCCTGTCTCTGAACTTTCAGGTCTGTGATCACAGGCAGGCACGTCTGCCCAGCTTCTGGTTGTTGCTGCATTTCTGTGTATGTATACAGGCACACACATGTCACGTGCACATGCAGAAGTCAGAGAACAACTTGTGGGGTTGGTTCTCTCCTAACACGCTGGTCCTGAAGACCAGGGCTGGGCAGCGACTGCCTTTCCAGATGAGCTCCCCTGCAGGCCTCCACCCAGCTTTTATGTGGGTGCTAGGATCCGACAAACCCTCATGTCTCTGCAGCAAGCTCTTTATCCACTGCAGAATCTCCCAAGCCCCTTTAGTTACTTTAAGATATCAAAATCAGAGTCATAGTTCACAGAAATAAGAACATATTCACCAAGTCAAAAGTACCTTCCAAAGGCCAAGACTCAAAAACAGGAAGTGGACCACCCCAGTACTTATTAGACAGTAAGCAGGAAATGGATTCACACATACTGTAAACCAGTCAAAAATAAAACACTAAACTCACTGTGGCGTTTAAACTCCTTCTGCAGTTTACTGATCTGGTTGCTTTTCATCCTGTTTCCAGACAGAGTTTTCACTTTCTTTGGTTTCAACGTTGTCTTCAGACTGGGTCCTGCCCTTGCATCTACCACCTGGAAGGAAACACTGAATATTTAATACCATTTAGGCCCACGCTTACTCAAGAACCAGTTGATACCAGTGTTTGAGGGTTTGTGTGTGCCTTTAACTGTCACATGACAAAGAGTACGCACTACTTAGGACCGTTCTGCCTGCTAACCCCTAAATTTACCAACCACAGCATTTCCTCTCCCTTGTCTAGCATGGCATGGTTCTACTTCTTGGGCCTTCAACATAAAAGATCGTCATCACCTTCAAACATCACAACTGTGATTTCCTCAGTTAAGCTATTAAAGAAAAACTTCTTTACATATTAGGATAACAGGTCCCTAAGAAATGTATCGCAGCAATTTAACATTATCAATGGACAGTACTGTGCGGGGTAAAGAAAAATGGCTATTTAAGCAAAGTATTTCATGTAATGTAAATTTCATAAACCTTGACCAGAGATGGTGGCTCACACCTGTAACCCTGGTGCCTGAGAGGCAGGGTAGTCAAAGTAGAAGGTCGAAGTTGTCTTCTGCCATACTGAGCTGGGGCTACATGAGACTTTGTCTTAATAAAGCAAAAACCAAGACAAGTATCTGAAAAGCCGGCTAGCATTATTAAAGAATTTAACAAAACTCTAGACGAGGGGCGGCTGAGTAGCACAGGTTTAATGTAGCAAGCTCCACACCCTAGTTCCATCCCCAGCACGAAAAATCAAAAGCGCTGGGGGCTGGAGAAATGGTACAGTGGTTAGAAGCCCTTGATGCTGTTGCAGAAAAGTGAGTTCAGGTCACAGCATCAACCTGGCGGCTCAGCACTCAGTAACCAGTTCCAGGGGATCCAATGTAATCTTTTGGCCTCTGTGGGAACTCCAGGGGCATGCAGCACACATACATAAACGTGGACAAAACACACAAATTTATAAAAATAAAATAAATACATCTTTCAAAAATAACACTAAAAAGTGCTGCTCAGATCATCTCAATTAAATAAGGGGGCTGCTCATCCAGTGGACTCTGAGTACCACGCCTAGCATTAACAGACACAGCTCAGTTGCCTGCAACTTCAGCTCCAAAGGATCCAACAGCCCACACCTCTGGTACACTCACAGACTAATAATTAGAAAAAAAAATAGATCTAAATATATATTACGTGAGTCTAGTGACAGGGCAATAAAGTAAAAAGGGTAACAGAACTCACACCAACACCGTTGGCCTAATCACAGCCTACGCAACAGTATCCACCTTGTATTTTGTTTTATAGGCACCACCTCATTCAGGCCCCAGAGTAGCTCTATGGATAGCTGACAGCTTTGTAGCCAGAAGCCTACAAGTAGTAAGTAGTAAACACAAAACAAGACTAAACTTATGTGCTCACGAGTTCAAAGCAACATGTCATTCTAAGGGGTGAAAAGGGATCCACGTGTAATATAAGGACACTGTAAACATTCCAGGAAATGCTACACCAGGCTAGTGTTTTCTTTATTCTTGTAGTATTTTCTATCTTAGTGATACAGAACTTCCTAAATTGGGAGTGCTGATGCTGACGCTATTTTAATAGAGATAGAAAAGGACAAACTAACGTGATTCCAGTTTTTTTTTGATCCCGCCGGCAACTTCTTCCATCTTTTCACGAGCAGCACACAGGCATTGCAGATGTCTCCTGAGCGAGTCTCGTGCAACCTGACAGGAAAACAGTGTTATCTTGCTTTTCACTCATGAGGCTTCAGGTGTGGATACTTCTCTTGGAGAAAAATACATCCATTTATGCGCTCATCGATGTAATTTCTGACTACCCTAAGATGATCTATTCCACTGTTCCTCTAGCGCATTTCAGATACGAAACTAAAGCACCAGTAAGTCCTACACCCACGTACGTACATACAGACAGCACTAGGTGGAGTCAGGGGTATTTTAAAAGAAACTCTTTTCTTTTTTTTTAACCTCTATGTTTTATTTATTAGTCACCCCTGGCTGTCCTAGAACTCAATTTGTAGATTGGTCCGGCCTCATACTCATAGAGATCTGCCTGTCTCTGTCTCCTAGAGTGCTAGGATTAAAGACACGCATCAGGGTTCTTTTTAAAAAGGAGAGAGAGAGAGAGAGAGAGAGAGAGAGAGAAGAGCCTATGTAGTTGAAGTTGGAAGAGAAATATGATGACAGGGAATGGTGGGAAGAAATGATCACACGCGCGCACGTGCGCACACACACGAAATTTTCAATTCTAAGAAATCATTAGCTTCAAGAGACCCAGTCAATATCAATGTATTCCATTTAAAAATCTCTTTTAAGCCAAGTATAGTGGTGCATGCCTTTAATTCCAGCACTTGGGAGGTAAAGGCAGGTGGATCTCTGTGAGTTCAAAGCCAGACTGGTATAGACATAGTAAGTTACAGCACAGCCAAAGCTACTTAGTGAGAACCTGCCTTTAAAAAAAGAAAAAAAGAAAAAGAAAAAAGAAAAACTCAAATCAGATTTATTTAATTTTGACGTGTATCCATGTGTACCACGTGTATGCCTAGTGCCAGAGATCAGAAGGACCCTGCAAGAGCAACAAGTATTCTGAACTGCTGAGCCTTCAGTCCCAAGATTTAAAACTGAAGAGTACCAAGTATGAGCTCTGGTGATGTGAGCCTACAATCTCAGTACTCAGGTAGGGGCAGGAGGGCTACTGTGAGAAACATGGGCTAGCATAGCACACGCTCTTTAAGAACACACAGGAGGCCAGGTACTACCTTCAGCGCCAGTAGTTAAGAACTTACCTACAGGGCAAGTTCATCCTGTCTCAAAAAACAAAACAGCAGGACAAAGTCTAAGTCTAGAACTAACTAACAATGAGCAATCAGTAAGTAAAGAAAAAGCAGTGTGCGGTCTGGGGCTCAGAGGGTAAAAAGCACTCGCTGAACAAACTTCAGGAGGATCTGGGTTCAAAAATCACATAAAACCTGGTGTGGAGGTGTGCAATGCAAAACACAGCAAACACCAAGCATGGTCATGTGCGTCTGTAATCCCAGTTCTCATCTATAAGTAGAAAGGTGGAAACAGGAGACTCTCTGAAGTTCACAGGCCAGCCAGCCTGGCCTAACAAGCAAGGAATAAATAGAATGACTATCTCTAAGGCAAGGATCAACAGCCAAGGTTGCCCGACCCAGCATGAATCACAGCACATACAAGCACTCAAATGTTCACATGCAAACAATGGTGATGCACGCCTTTAATCCCAGCACTCAGGAGGCTGGCAGAGGCCAGCCTGGTCTACAGGAAGCCCTGTATGGAAAACCAAGTGCACATGCAACCAAACAAAATCAATCTCATGCAAATGCACTCTCTCTCAAGCACACTATCTTCTATCATGGGAAGTGGTTCAACATTAAATATTTTATTTCATCCAGGTATCTGTTAGAAAAATACTCTGGTAAATTTCAGGGCAGAATATTAAATATATTGTCATCCTCCTCCTCAGCAAGTTAAAACGTAAGTCTATTATGGATAAGCACAATGGAGAAACAGCACTGGAGGCCCACTATTGGTAAGAGAATAAGGACACGTTTTGAAAATTTACTTATACACCCAACAGTTAAGAACAAAAGGGTTTGTCTAATTGGAACCATAAAAGATTTCACAACTAATTAGGCAGAGTAAGCTGTCGGTATTGACTCATTTTAAGAACATGGAATCCTCACTAACCCAGATATTAGAAAATTGGTGATTTTAAATATTAGCACATTGTTCCCATTGCTTTGCGTGGAAATATTTCCACACACATTGACTATTTTCCCTCTAAGAACGGAACATAATTAATCTTACCCAAAACAGCTCTGGAAGTCCTTCTCGTAGCGTTTACTGTCCGTGAACCGAGAACTGGAGGACTTGGCTCTGCAGATACAGCAGCCCTCTATACTTCGGTACATCTTTGGCTTGTGAAAACCAAACATCTTCTCTTCTGGGCAGTAGCTGTAAAGACAAGGAGATTGACACAGCTTTTTTGAGGGCAATGACAAGAAACCATGCAAGGATTTTCCTCTGCTCCACCCACCTCACCCCCAGCACAGGTAATTTTACAACCAAGTCAAACAAACTAGAAGGGTTCCCCAGATCTACTACTCCACAGTACCAGGGCCAGTACACAGAACACGCAGAAATACCTGGGTAGCTGGGAGGCACCCACTATCTCCTTTATCTCTCCTTGCAAATATTCTAAAAGAGAACAGAATTTTTCTTAAATTACATACCCTATCAACTAACTATACCACATCCTCAAGGAACATGGCAGCTATCAGCATATCAAAGCCCATTCTGGGCTCTAGGGTCCCTCAGTATCACAAATACCTGCTATACGTTTCACACTAGCCCTTCTCACCTCTTTTACCCTAAACTCCCTCCAACTATGCTCTCTCTACTTTCCCTACCTCTGGTTATTCTCCCTTTTCTTACAGAACCCTGGCCATGTCCAATCTACCTTCTCCCTTGCTCTGGACTCTTCCAGATGCCTCCGGCTGTTCTCTCTCATATCCACATATAAACCATCATACAATGAGCAGTCAGTCATGCTGGTTCTTTCTTTCACTGTGCCTCCCCGCATACGCACGCCATTAAGAAATATGACTAAAACTCTATAACACTTTTGGCATTTTGTGCCTTTGTATTATTAATGTAACTCCCCCGGAGGAAAGTTGTATGCGTTCACCAAGACCTCTGTTCCCAGGACACAAGAAACTCCACACATCAACTGTGCTCTATGGAAACAGGGGATAAATGGGAAATTTATCACCTTGAGCTGAAAGGAAGATATGAAAATCACAGAAACCCAACCTTAGAGTTTAGAAATGATGTCCATGCACTAATGAGTGGAATTAACTCCTCTGGTCAAAATCCCAATATTAAGGAAGGTAAAAACTATCTTTAGGTTGGAGGCCAGTGAGACCCCACATCTAAGTCAACTTCAGCAGATGGATTAGGGGGCACAAAAGGCAATGCATGATGGCATGGTGGCACATGCCTTTAATCTCAGCAGCATTAGGGAGACTGAGGCAGGACTGCCATGAATTCATGGGATCAGTTTGATCTGCCAAGTGGAGGGAAAATAAACATGGAAACTTAAACCCCAATGGACCAACCACAGGAGGTGTATACCCAACTACCAACTACCACAAAACATCACGCAAAAAAGAAAAAAAGTATAATTCTCTTTGCACATACAATGTTGATATTTATAACCACAGACCATGCTTATACATGTTTTAGAAGTAAATATGGGCAATGAAGCTTTCTACCCGCCACTAGATCATCTCTGGTCTGAGCCCAGTGCTGTTCAGTGGACCACGGCAGAGTACAGAGGTTCACAGGTGACCAAATATCCAGAGGCATGTGCATCTTGGGTTTGTTTCTGCTTTGGAGACAGGGCTTCTCTGCGTAGCCCCCGGTTGTCCTGGAACTCGCTCTGTAGCCCAGGCTGGCTTTGAACTCAGAGACCACAACAGCTAAGCCAGCAACTGTTACTCCAGTGTTTCTTGGTGTTTTCTTTGTGCAGGAAGCAGACAAAGATGGATGAATAAATAAGGCCACTAATACACTTTTCAATTACTAAGTCTGACCTAACCTGTAAAAACTGTTAAGACAGTAGCTGGACCATTAGAAGCGAGACTGAAGAACGAATCTGAGGCTTTTTCTTTTAACCTGAACTCAGAGGAAAATGTAAAGAAAATGTCCTCCCGAGCAAATGGTCATGCCACTTTAGCCAAAACATTATCAAATGACAAGACTCAAGAAAGCAGCCGTGTATATTCCTGTTTGTTCTCTGAACACCCTTGCCATCAAGGTCAGAAGTCCACAGTTCCTCTTACAATCATCAATAGCGCTAGGAAACCTCAGCCTCTTCGAGCAAGGACAAAGGAAGTACACAACAAAGCTCCAAGCTGACAGTGTGCAAACTCTACCCCCACAGTTGTCCTCCCCCACACACACCAAAACTATGGCCAGTACTGAACCGTGAGGCCAATCATAATTTTCTTGGTGAGGACAGACACAAAAGCAACCCATCAGCCTGTCAGGATGACTCTTTAACAGTCCACCACACTCCTGTGGGCTAGCTTTGGCTTGCACAAGGGTCGGATGGGAGCAGAAACCCAGGGTCCATCCTCATCTAGACAGTGCTGTGAAAAACGAAGCAAGCATCCAAGTTGTCTCTTATTGGATGACCACCACTTAGCCTTTAAATCCCCTTCCCATGCCCTTAAGAGGAACCGGGGAATCTGCAGTAAACCACGGGGGTGTTCATTCCTCGCACTGTTTACAGGGGCCTCCTTAAATGGTGGCTTGTTTTTTTTTGTTTTTTCAAGACAGGGTTTCTCTGTGTTGCCTTGGAGCCTGTCCTGGAACTAGCTCTTGTAGACCAGGCTGGCCTCGAACTCACAGAGATCAGCCTGCCTCTGCCTCTGCGTCCTGGGATTAAAGGTGTAAACCACCACTGCCCGGCTAAGTGGTGGTTTGTATTTAACCATTTTAAGATTTGGGGAACCCTGAGAACTAACTGAACATATTTTTATAAAAATCTATGGAGTCACTTATGTTCAAACCAAAACATCTAATCAGTCTCTGTAGTGAAGCCAGACAGACACAGCACAGCCATGCCTCAAATCAGGTTATATCTGAGAAGGTGGTGAGTAAATCTGGCAGTTTGGTTGTGATTTTGACAGTTCTGGTATTTCAAGCAACCTGGTGGCTGTTTACTCCTTTCCAAGTTCCCGCTTTGTGAACCAGTAAGTAGGTTCCTCTGGAACTGTCTGGCTTGCTCAAACAGCTTGGTCAGCTACACATCTTATCTGTACTGAGAGTGCATTGTGCAGAGGCAATCACCTGCCTCCTGACTGAGGGTTAAGCCCACTGCAGCTCAGCAGAACAGACACCACACAGTCTCATCTGTAAGAATGTGTCTGGGGGACAGGAGAAAATTGAAGTTAGAAAGGACTTAAAACTGTAATTTAGGGGCTGGAGAGATGGCTCAGCGGTTAAGAGCATTGACTGCTCTTCCAGAGGACCCGGGTTCAATTCCCAGCACCCACATGGCAGCTCACAACTGTCTGAAGATCCAGTTGCAGGGGATCTGACACCTTCACACCAATGCACATAAAATAAAGTTAAATAAACCATAAAAATATTAAAAAAAAAACTGTAATTTATTTCCTAAAGTTATAGACAGCGGTGGCAATGACAAATTACGTACCTAAAACCACAGAACTACAAGCATAATAGTAAATCTTCCAGCACACAAATCGCATCTGAAAGTCATAAATGCAAGGAGAACAGAAACCACAAGCTATGATTTCAATTTATTCCACAATAAATAATTAATAGTGATAATGTATCCATTCAACACACACACGCCTTCTTACAACTTCCTTGTATAAATATCTAGAATTATAGGATGAGTGGCTATAAATACTACGCTCAATAAATAAAAATCAAAACAAAAAAAGCAAGTCAATCTCCCATATGAAAGATAAGGGCTGAGTTGGAGTGATGGCTCGGACCTTGTTCTCAGGGGTACTCAAGAGAGTGGGCTTATAACTGCCTATAATTTCTGCTCCAAGGGGCCTCCCCTACACACTCACGTGCACAGCACCTCCCCACACATACTCTATGGCTACAGCATTTGGAGTGCAGAACAGAATGACTGCTAAAGCTCCAGATCAACATCACCATACACAGAGTCCCAGGGTGGCAGAAACAAAGAGAAGGAAAAGCAGAAGTCAGGGCCTCAGGTTAGTGCCCGGCCCCTTCCAGCCATAGGGAAAAGTATGAAAAATAGTAAAAAGTAAGCTGTTACTTGCACCTGACACGGTGAACCAATTCCACTTTTATATACGGAGTCTGTCCATAGCGACAATAAAGTAATATGCTGAAGCCTGTTGTGTACTGTAAAACACTTTCATTTTAAGTCATAAAATAAGTATAAATTATATAGGAAATAATGGTGTCCCTCTAGAGAATGCAAACATGAAATTGACCTTTCCTTTATTCTCTTCTACAAGCTACCTGTTCTTAACCACGAGCACCACAGCCCAGATGTCATTATTACCCCTTCATTCACCTCAAGAACCCAAAAACCAGAGAGCTTGAGTAAATTTCTTAAAAGTCTAACAACAGACAGAGCTGGATCGTGGTGGCACATGCCTTTAATATCAGCACTTGGGAGGCAGATGTAAGAGGATTTATGAGTTCTAAGCCAGCCTGGTCTGTAAGAGTTCCAGGACAATCAGAACTACGGGGAGAAACCCTATCTAGAAAAATAAAACAAACAAACAAACAAAACAGATGGAAGATACCTACCTGTCAACCCACTCCACTGCTAAATACTACAGGACAATAGAATAACCCTTGTAAAGCAACAAACAAAACAGCTATGAACAAAAACAGAACCAAGAAAAAAATACAGAGACAACTTTGAAGACAGAAAAGGAAAAACCGGGAAAGACAGCATAAAAACCCAGTGGTGACCGACCACATGGTCTGGGGATCTCCAAGTTGCTACAACTGGTAACACGGGCTCTTTCGTCAACTCTGTGCTCTTTAACCAGCAGTGCCCACAGAAACCAAGTGTAACTGGGCAACACCCTTCACAAAGGGGCAACAGAAGAAGCATTTTGTTTCTCCCACTGCTAGGCCACTTGGCTGTAGAATTCAACAATGGAACACACTGCATCAGTGCCTAGGGAAATCAGGGGAGCAATAGAGTAATTATTGTTTCCTCTCTCTTCTAGATATCTGCATTAAAGCTTTCCAATTTACCAACACTTTTAAAGTGATGGATTTTTAACTTGCCTGGAAGCCGAGTATGAGGTTGTAGACCCCACTTGTTTGCCGAGAGCTCCAAACACATACTCCAACTCTAGGAAGCCATATGCCCCAGCATTTTTAACTGTGGCTGCAGTTGGCAGAGCCCAAAACTCACTTTGTAAGAAAGGGGTCCATACTCATTAAAAAAAAGTCTCCCACTAAGACAGCACAGGTTAAAAATTAAATCACAATCCCAGGCCTCTGGAATTTACATGGTATTCAAAAACAAAAAACCTAGTTCTGCCCATTTGCGCAACATGAAGGGAAAAATAACCATACTATCTAATTCTAGATTAAGACAGATGTAGGAGGCCAGGATCTTTGTAAACTTTAAGAGGCAATTATGTCACAGAATTTATTTAACCATACAGTAAATGGTAAAAAGGTTATCGGGCTGGAGAGATGGCTCAGTGGTTAAGAGCATTGCCTGCTCTTCCAAAGGCCCTGAGTTCAAATCCCAGCAACCACATGGTGGCTCACAACCATCTGTAATGAGGTCTGGTGCCCTCTTCTGGCATACAGGTATATACACAGACAGAATATTGTATATATAATAAATAAATATTTTTTAAAAAGGTTATCTACCAGTTCTTCACAATTAAGAAATTGCTGGGGTTAGGAGGCTAGGGAAATGGTTCAATGGTCAGGGGCACATGCTGCTCTTCCAGAGGAAAACTTCCACGGTACTTGTACTCATGTGCGCATACCCAAATGCACAAACATGCTTAGACATAAAATAAAAAAAGAGAAAAACAGGGTGGTATACACCCATAATCTCAGAACTCAGAAGACAGAGGTAGGCAGATCTCTGAATTCAAGGCCAGCCTAATCTACATTATGAGTCCAAGGACAGCCAGGGCTACAGACAAACCATGTCTCGGAAAAAAAAAAAATTGTTCCTAATTCTAAAGGTTCTTTGATAACATTAAAGTGAAATTTCACTTCTTGCCAAGTATATGAAAATACCAGGGTACATTTTTTTTTCTTGAATGTGGTTAAGAGCTGAACATTACTGAAACAAACTTTTACAGGCCCAGAATATATATCCAAGGGATTCAACTGAGTGGCTTTTTTTTACAGAAAAAGTAAAATTTAAACTTGGGGTGGGGAGTGTCATAAGGAAGATCGTAAGTAATCCACTCTTAACAAAAATGTTAAGGCAGGCAGGCAGGCAGGCAGGCAGGCAGATAGACAGACAGACAGACAGACAGACAGACAGACAGACACACACACACACACACACACCAGA